GGTTTCAGGATGATTTGGCTTTCTGTCTTTTGTTGTTCATATAAATTTTGGATTATTTCTTTTCTGTGAGAATGCCATTGGTAATCTTTTGATGAATTGCAGTGAAATGTAGATTGATTGACTGTGTGGGACATTTAACCCTTTGGACTCACTTGCCCTTTTCTCATTTATCTCTCGAATTATCCACACTGATCTGAGTTGCAAATGGTTTTAACATATTGATTCTCTACCTATGAGATTTGTGTGGTGGTGTGCTCCATTTCTTTCATCAGTTTGTCGTTTTCATTGGGGTAGTGATCTCCTTCTTATGGCTAAGTTAATTCGATAGTATTCATTTATTGTTAGCTTTGGCTATCATTTAAATGGATTACTCTGGTTTTTTTCAGATTGTTGCTCTTTGGTGTATAGAAATGTACTGATTTATATGTTGATTTTGTATCCTTTTAATTTAGCTGAATTTGTTTATCATTTTATACTTTTTTAGTGTGTTTGGATTTTTGGTTCCGTCTTACATATAAGACCATGATGGATCGCAAGCAAGGCTATTTGTTTCCTTTACGTTTGGGATGCTCTTTGTTCTTTCCTGTCTGATGCATCTATGCTAGGACTTCCAGACGATGTTGAATACCGTGATGGGAAAATGGGGCATCTTGCTGTCTTGTTCCAGATTCTTAGATGAAAGGCTTCTGGGTTTGATTGATACTTGTTCAGTGTGATACGGACTTCTTATCCGATTATTTTTTTTTTTGAGAGTTTTTTCCGAGGGATGTTGAATTTTATAAATGCCTTTTGAGTATCAATTGCTATGATCATTTGGTTTTTGTCTTCAGATTTTGTTGAAGATCCATGTTTTTTAGGGTTGGTTTACTGTGCTCTTTTGTGCCTGATTGTAGTATCATGCTTTCCCCTGATTATTCGATGTCCTTGTTTGGCTACATTAGTGTCTGCATGCTTGAAGGAATTGCACCTCTTCACAGTCTTTAAATAATTTTCTTGGCAGGGAATCTATCCAATCAATCAGTCATCAGAGATTTAGCTGTGTCGGTAGGACATTTTTGCCGTGGTCCAATGAGGGCTTACCTGGACTTGGGTCTGTGGGTGCTGGCCTGGAATCTGAAGTCTGCCGGTCCAGCCTGGCATGGGTGGGCCTGGAGCCAGAGGCCAGAGTCTGGCTTGGTGTCTGTAGTCCACAACGGGTAGGCCTGGGCCTCGAAGCAAATTAGGACGTCTTGCCATGGCACTGGGGTGGGCCACCAGAACTGGGTCCATGGGTCGGCCCGGACATTGGTCTGCAAGAATTGACCTGGGTATTAGGGTCTTGTGTAAAGCCAAGTGCTCCTTTTTTCTCTCCCTGATACATGAAGGGTATCTCTCTCACACTGTGTTGGGGCAAGGGCTTGGGATATGGTGATACGGTAATGTGAAATTCTTCATTCCTCTCACTTCAGTGTGTTTTTTCTTATTTCTTTGCCACCCAGGGTGCTATTAATTCTCACCTGGATTTCCTGTTAGGGCGCTCTTGTAATTTTTGTGTATAGATGATTGTTCAAGTCTGTGTTTCTATGAGGGAACCAAGGCTTGACTAAGTCCTATTTTACAACCTTGGTTTTGTAATTCATGTGTAAATTTGAGTCTACCAGTAGGAGTTTTTTACATCCTAAGAATCACGATTCTCGCTCTCGCCCTTCAGCTTTATTGCTATTCTGCAGTCTGGATTGTACCTAGCCAGAATACTCTTTTCTCACAAAAACCAGCAAGGCGGGATCTTGATTCTCATCATGTCTTCACCCTTATTACTAATTTGGAATGGAAAGTGGCGCCTAACCTCGCCTACTCCGTTTGCGTTATTATCCACTTCTTCTCTTCCTATTACTTTCCTTCGTATACTGGCATCATATTCAGTCTCTTTTCTTTCTTGCCCTCATTTCTTCTCTTAATGGTCCCTCTGCTTTATTCATTTTTTTTTAATTTTCTTAGTTTCTTTGTAATACTCCCTTCCTTCTTCCTCCTTTCACTTTTCGGCAGATATCTGGTACTATTTAGTAAATGCATGTTGCTTTTTCTAGATTGTATGTGTGCAGCAAAGATTACATGAAGAAGGTTTTAGAGATTACTTCTGTGTTTGCCGGCTAACTTAGAAGCACTCCTAAACTTTCCCCAAAGCTTAAAATCTAGTTAGTTGCCTTTGTGTTTCATCCACTCTAAGACTGTCGTATGGCGTCAGTTGCTAAGCTCAGGCGAGTATATTAGTAACCTGCATTTCCTGGCTCAGGGATTCCTCATGCTAGTTTCCTCCCTACGTGCTGGGACCACAGGGCTGCAACGCCTAATTGCCCTCGCTTTTATTTGTTTTCAGATTTTTGCCAATGTTATTATTAAAATATGTACCCACTACATTTGATTATGATTAACAGATAATGATATTTCATAGAGTCCAGCTATTTTTTTCCACTTTATTCTTTAAGGATTTATTGTGAGCAGTTAAGGATTGACTCGGCTATAAAGTTGTATCAGTGTTGAACAATTCGATGTGCCCATTAGTGTTCTCAGTGATTTGCCTATAGGTTCTTTGTGGACAGGAGTTGCAAAGGGCTTTGCTTCCTCGTCTAAACTCAATTTTGTGTCGCTTCCTTTCGGATTGGGATAGTTCAGAGTAATGCTTACAGGTTGGCGCTGCATTTTTACCATCTGTGTTCTCACTCAAATTTCGGTCAACACCATCTGTTCAAATCTTTAAACGTACTAATCAATGGAATAACGCCCCCAAATGTCTGCTCTTCCTTTTCTTTGATTAAAAACCCAGCAATTGTACATAGTATATGTCGCATTATCATCTGACAATGAAGACTCTTCGTAATTGCTAACCTATATCTATTTTTCGCTCATTGATAGCCTATTGTAGTGTTGCTGTAACATCATTTACGCGCTCATTCTTGTAGTGACTTAAACAACACAATTTATGTTACAGTTTGTGTTATCAGATGTCCAAAATGTGGTTACTGGTGTGGCATTGAATCTAAATCAATGAAGTAGCTATCATAGGATCGTGCAATTTCCTTTCTGGACAAGATTGGGATTGTAGAATTGGCATTAAGTGGAAAAGAGTCTATGTTCTCTCGCACCTCCATGATCTTACGAATCAGCCATACTTCTATTTCTCTCTAATTTGCGTCTCTCTTCTTTCTTTTCATTTTTTTTTACATATGCGTATATGATTGCCGAAGTCTAAATTAGTCATTTGTTAAGGTGGGGAGTTACAAGGATGGGATTCATTTCTTACCAATAAAACTCGCGTAGTGTATCATAGGAACCGCGGTCAATATAAACTTAGTCGATTCTATCTAACCCATCTAGTTCCAATATTTTTAATATAATGATATAATTTAAGCTATCTTAAGTTCTAATTATTACATATATCATTAGACAGGAATAGAATTAGGACTGATTACTATTGGATGTTTAGTGATATGAGAGTGACTCAGAGCAATGGTATGAGGCCGGTCGCGCCTCCGCGTTCGACGCCTGTATCTGCTCTGGAGTCCAAGGCAGGAGTGATTGCTCGGAGGTCAGGATTCGAAACCAGCCTGGCAAGCCCTGAGCGAAGAGTGAACCCGGTTTCTCTCATAATAGAAAATATTGGCCCATTATATAGAAATTTGCCAGGGCACCGGTTGGCATGCTGTAGTCCCAGTACTCGAGCTGGGGAGGTGTTGGGCAGGGTTTGGAGGTTGGTGTGGCTGGTGGAGCCACGACTCACTCTAGCTGGCAACGGAGTGGACTCTGGTTCAAAAAAAAAAAAAAGAACTCAAATGGTGGATTCATGGACATTAGCCTTAGACCTAAAATGTAAAGCCTAAAATCATAAAGCTTCTAGGAGAAAACTTAGGAGAAAATCTTGGTGACCTTAGGTTAGGCAAAGATTTCTCCGATAAGGCACCAAAAGCAGTATATTAAAAAAAGGTAAATTGAACTTTATAAAAATTGAGAATTTTGCTCTGCAAAGACACTATTAAGATAAATAAAAAAGAAGCCACAAACTTGGAGAAAATATGTGCAAATCACATGTCTGATAAAGCATTTATCAGAATATATAAAGAGCTCTGCAAACTCAATACTAAGAAAATAACCCAGTCACAGGGTTTTGGGTGGTTTCGGCTGGTTTCCTGGTCCCTGCTCCTGGCTCCTCCAGGTCTGCATCTGAGGGTCCTGGTCTCCAAGGACATGGGTACCTCTTGCTTCTCCTCCAGCTCACACCTGTCACGGGGTCGCCCAGGTGCAGCTCTGCAGGTGAGCCTGGAGGTGCAGTTCAGTGACCTGGGGGGGAGATCTGAGGAGTCCCCGTGGGGCGCCTGGCCCCTTCCTCATGCGGGGCAGGGGGTGGGGGGGACACAGACACCTTTACTCAGAGCTCCTGGCTGGCTGGACACCGACACTGTGGTGGCTCAGCCACACCCCTTCCCCTGCAGAGGAGCCGCCTAGCCTCCCCCTACGACCCCTCCCCTTGCGCTGTACTACCCCTCCCCTCGACAGTATAAGCCCCCCACCCCTCCCCTGTCCCTAGGAGCCCCTCTTTCCCATCCCTCTCCTCCCCTTCTCCCCTCCTCCCTCCCCTGTCCCTAGGAGCCCCCTCCTCCCTTCCCTAGCCCTCCCCACCTCTCCTCTTCCCTCCTCCCCAGGAGCCCTCACCTCATCCCTAGGAGCTCCCCCACCTCTCCCCTGCTCCCCACCCCTCTCCTCTTCCCACCACCCCTCCTTCTACCACCCCTCCCTCCCCCCACCCTTCTTCACCCCTCCCTTCGTCCCTAGGAGCCCTCAACTCCTCCCTAGGAGTCCCCCCTGCACCTTTCCCTTCGACCCTAGGAGCCCCCCACTCCTCCCCTTGTCCCTAGGAGCCCCCTCCCCCCGCACCCCTCCCGTTGCCCCTAGGAGCCCCCTCCCCCCGCACCCCTCCCGTTGTCCCTAGGAGCCTCCTCCCCCTGGACCCCTCCCCTTCTCCCCAGGAGCCTCCGCCCCCGCCCCGCGGCGCCGTCCCCGCGCGGCCACCAGAGGGCGGTGCCGCCCGGCCCAGCCGGCTGGGACGGGGTTTGGGGGAAAGCCTGGACTCGCGGTCGGAGTGGACGCGGCGACACCCGGACCCCGCAGACGTGTGGACCCCGCAAACGTGTGGACCCCGCAAACGTGTGAACTCCGCAAACGTGTGGACCGCAAACGTGTGGACCCCGCGGAGTCGGGCCCGGGTGGGGACACCTGCGCGGAGACCCTCCCACCTCGGTGCGGGCCGGGGGGAGCCCTGGGGGGGGAGCCCTCGGGGGGCGCTCGGGAGACCCAAGTTGGGGCGAGTCCGGGGCGGGTGCTCAGGGGGGGCTCGGACAGGACGGAGACGCTGGCGGGGTTGGCGGACGGGGACCCTGCGGATGGCCCTCTGTCCCGCTGTCCCTCTATCCCTCTGTCCGCTGTCCTGTCCCCTCTGTCCGGCTGTCCCTCTGTCTCTCTGTCCCTCTGTCCAGCTGTCCCTCTGTCCTCTCTGTCCCCTCTGTCCGCTGTCCCTCTGTCCCTCTGTCTGCTGTCCCTCTGTCAGCTGTGTCTCTGTCCCCTCTATCCTCTCTGTCCACTGTCCCTCTGTCCCTCTGTGCCTCTGTTGGCTGTCCCTCTGTCCCCTCTGTCCAGCTGTCCCCTCTCTCCTCTCTGTCCTCTCTGTCCACTGTTCCTCTGTCCCTCTGTCCCCTCTGGCTGTCCCTCTGTCCGCTGTCCCTCTGTCCTGCTGTCCCTTTGTCCCTCTGTCCCTCTGTCCACTGTCCGGCCATCCCTCTATCCCTCTGTCTGCTGTCCCTCTGTCTATTGTCCCTCTGTCCCTTTGTCCCTCTGTCCCTCTGTCTACTGTCTGGCCGTCCCTCTATCCCTCTGTCTGCTGTCCCTCTGTCTATTGTCCCTCTATCCCTCTGTCCTCTCTGTCCCCTCTGTCCACTGTTCCTCTGTCCGGCTGTCCCTCTGTCCCTCTTTCCTCTTTGTCCCCTCTGTCTGCTGTCTCTCTGTTGGCTGTCCCTCTGTCCGTTGTCCCTCTGTCCCTCTGTCCATTGTCCCTCTGTCCTCTCTGTCCATTGTCCGTCTGTCAGCTATCTGTCTGCTGTCCCTCTGTCCTCTCTGTCCCCTCTGTCCACTGTCCCTCTGTCCCTCTGTCCTCTTTGTCCTCTCTGTCTGCTGTCTCTCTGTCTGCTGTCCCTCTGTCCGTTGTCTCTCTGTCCCTCTGTCCTCTCTGTCCCCTCTGTTTGCTGTCCCTCTGGCTGTCCCTCTGTCCCTCTGTCCTCTTTGTCCCCTCTGTCTGCTGTCCCTCTGTCCTCTCTGTCCCTCTGTCCACTCAGTCTGCTGTCCCTCTGTCTGGCCGTCCCTTTGTCCCTCTGTCCTGCTGTCCCTTTGTCCCTCTGTCCCTCTGTCCACTGTCCGGCCATCCCTCTATCCTTCTGTCTACTGTCCCTCTGTCCATTGTCCCTCTGTCCATTGTCCCTCTGTCCCTCTGTCCGCTCAGTCCGCTGTCCCTCTGTCCGCTGTCCCTCTGTCCGGCTGTCCCTTTGTCCCTCTGTCCTGCTGTCCTTTTGTCCCTCTGTCCACTGTCCAGCCATCCCTCTATCCCTCTGTCTGCTGTCCCTCTGTCCGTTGTCCCTCTGTCCCTTGTCCCTCTGTCTACTGGCCCTCTGTCAGCTGTCTGTCTGCTGTCCCTCTGTCCTCTCTGTCCCCCCTGTCCAGCTGTCCCTCTGTCCCTCTGTCCTCTTTGTCCCCTCTGTCTGCTGTCTCTCTGTCTGCTGTCCCTCTGTCCTCTCTGTCCCTCTGTCCCCTCAGTCCGCTGTCCCTCTGTCTGGCCGTCCCTTTGTCCCTCTGTCCTGCTGTCCCTTTGTCCCTCTGTCCCTCTGTCCACTGTCCGGCCGTCCCTCTATCCCTCTGCTGTCCCTCTGTCCATTGTCCCTCTGTCCATTGTCCCTCTGTCCCTCTGTCTGCTGTCCCTCTGTCACTCTGTCCGCTGTTTCTCTGTCCCTCTGTCCCTTCTGTCCATTGTCCCTCTGTCCAGCCATCCCTGTGTCTGCTGTCCGCAGAGGACCTGCTGGGTCCTCGGCCGGTGGGAGGAGTGGGGCCGCCTGCCGCTCCAGCAAGGGTGGAGTCAGACCCGCAGGTCCCACCCCTGCAGCGGGAAGGGGCTGTGTGTGTCACAATGGGTCAGGGTGGGGCCCAGGACAGCGGGGCGGTGAAAAGGTGCCCTCTGCACTCCCCACACGCCTCTCTGGGTTTTGAAATGAGAAGTGACTCATTTTACTATTGTGACTAAACTGCTAAATGGAGAGAGGAACGTTCACTGCCTGAGAGCAGGGCGGCCGGCGGGCGTGAAATAGCACAGTGACAGGGTCAGATGTGTCATGTGTCTTCCCCCCACGCAGCCACACTTCCTTTACTAGAAAGGAACTCATGTCAGCCATTTACATCATAGTATGAATTTCTCGCCAATAGCCATATAGTTCCTTAAAAATGTTAATGAAATATTTCAGTTGGGCCGGGCGCGGTGGCTCACGCCTGTCATCCTAGCACTCTGGGAGGCTGAGGCAGGCAGATCGCTCGAGGTCAGGAGTTCGAAACCAGCCTGAGCAAGAGTGAGACCCCGTCTCTACTATAAATAGAAATAAATTAATTGGCCAACTAATATATATAGAAAAAAATTAGCCGGGCATAGTGGCGCATGCCTGTAGTCCTAGCCATTCGGGAGGCTGAGGCAGGAGTATCACTTGAGCCCAGGAGTTTGAGGTTGCTGTGAGCTAGGCTGACGCCACGGCACTCACTCTAGCCTGGGCAACAAAGCGAGACTCTGTCTCAAAAACAAAACAAAACAAAAAAAAACACACAAGTAAATGCGGATTGAGTTAAAGGGCAGATGACCCACAGTCTGGAGAAAGATAGTCGGATCTGACAGGAGGCAGCGGGAATGCAGGGCAGGGAGGACGGGAGAGGATATGGGGACCCAAAAGGGACCCCGTGGTGCCTGGGGATTGAGGAGGAGCTCAGGGTCCTGACATGGTCCACTTGGTGGCAGTGTAGTAGTGACGGACACACACTGGGGCACAGAGTTATGCTGGGGGGGAGCAACAAGCTCATGCTCAAAGATACAGATTCAGAGGACCAGACGGTGGTGTTTCCAGGAGGCAGCTGAGTGTGCAGGTACCATGTTTCCCCGAAAATAAGACCTACCCACAAAATAAGCCCTAGCAGGATTTCTAAGCATTTGCGCAGTAGAAGCCCCACCCCGAAAATAAGACCTAGTGATGGGCGTGGCTACGCAGCGTGTCTGCCTCGCGGAGCGGGAAAGAAGACGAGCAGCCCTTCCCATCTGCCCCGTGAGAGCTCTAGTGCTCGACGTGAGAGATCGGGGCCGACGGTTCTAAAGGAAATGGAGTTGCAAGAAATTCAGGATGGAATTTGGGGTTTGGAGAGTTATGAGGATGTTCCAGAGGAAGACGACTTAACTATATTTGAATCAATGTAGATGGCTGTGCCGTACTTAAAACAAAACAAAACAACACATCCCCTGAAAATAAGCCCTAGGGTGTCTTCTTGAGGAAAAAATAAATATAAGGCCCTGTCTTATTTTCGGGGAAACACGGTAGGTGGTCTGGACAGAGACAGAAACGTAAACAAATGGTAATGACAGGGGTCCACTTCTGAGACAGCAGCTCAAGGATCCCCAGACCATTTCCCAGCAACGTTAGCAAAGCTTGCAAAAACCATAAAAAGCCCCAGCCGTTAGTGTCCCTGGAGATTGTGCTAAGGGAACACAGCAAATGGAGAAGTGTTTGCTCGAGCAAGTCCACGGAAACCAGGTAAGAACGGGGAGGTCTGTGGTGTCTGAGCCACGACCCACTGCCTCTCCGTGCACCAGCGTGGCTTGGTGGAAGCTTCACTGCAGACAGAGGCGGCCAAGAGCGTGGGGCTTGCTGTCTCCTCGGGTCCCAGTCGAATGTTACCGTGTCTCAGCAGGATCACGACACCAGCGTTTCCCATCCTCTCCAACCCCCCCCTGGAAGAGGCTGACTTCCTGGTCGGTGTGGCCAAGAGAAGAGGCAAGAGGCTCCCTTCCTCCGCCCAGCTCTGCAAGGTGGAGGCTCTACCCAGAAGGGGTGGGCTGAGAATACTGGGAACCTGGTCACCCACGCGCCCCCTCACCTGCGGGGCAGAGATTCTCCACCAGTGGAAGGAAGCCCAAAGACCACAGGCTCCTGCCCCGCCCGGTGCGCAGAGCAGTGGCTCAGAGAGCTCCAGAGCTCTCCCCGGAGAAACTGACTTTATCTGAAACAGAGTTAGAGGAAGTTCAAGCCCAAGAGCGCTCTTGAAAACAACAGTTCTTAATTAGCAACAAGCTGTTACTGTGGGCCAGCTAGTTTGCTAGGCAGAACCAAGGAAAGGGACAGCCAAGGGGGCCCTCCTGGGTCAGAACAAACCTTGAGGACTGGCCTCAAAAACTGTTCTTGCTTGAATTTAATTGGATCAGCTTGCTGAGAAACTTAGGCTCCAGGGCACAATGAAAAAGCATAGAGCAATCAGCAGGTAATTAGTGGACCTTAACCACTTCGATACCGCGATCACCAGCCATGAAACCTTGCCCACAGCCGGCACTCACAGTCCGTAGGTTAGTTTGTGCTGTGCATTGACGACAAATCCGTTCTGCTCTCGTGTGATGAGGGAAGCTTGAAAGCACTGAAAGCTTGTTTTACTTTACAGGTAGCTTTACTTGTCATGTAAATCAGAATAGGTAACATACACATATATGTTTTCATTATGTTATTTTTAAATGTTCACAATTTTATTTAGATAAATGAAAAATTAGAAAAGTCATATCACGGCTGTTGGCTAAAGTCGATGCTCGGCTGTGCGCGTTCATCTGTGGCTGTCAACTATAGTCGACGCTCGTACTAAAGTGGTTAACAGGCTGGGTGGCTGGCAAATGAGGCAGATGGTTGAATAGACATCAGAGAAAGACAATTGTGCAGAGCCCTGCCCAAGCTGCTGTATCCCAGGGTGACCGCATGCGCCCAGGGCTGAGCCCACCGAGGAGGCCACCAAAGGCTCCCTGCTATGGGGAAATAGACTTTACCAAAGTAGCCAGGTCAGAGAACAAATAACAAGCAAATAGCAAGAAAAACAAGTCCTAGAGGGGTTGGGGGCATCAGTGTCCAGAGTTACTACAATGTGTTATCTAAAATGTCCAGTTTTCAACAAAAACTAGGGACTGTGCAAAG